CCCCAAAACCCCAAAACCCCAAAACCCCAAGCATTTCACTAAAATGAATCAGATAGTATAAGAAAAATTGTAAATTGTTTTTATTAGATCAGTAATGTTTTAAAATCATTCACAATTCAAAATGAAAACACAAATTTCAATTTCAAATATATTTTCCTTGCCTTCACTATTCTTTTCAGTATTTATATGGGCAAGTTTCACCTCAGCAAATTAAGAATTTCTGCCTGACTTTGATTCTAGTAATTTTCTTGCTCACAGATAACTAGATTTTAATATAACTGCCTCTGACACCTGCAAATAATCTTGTATTGATGTCGGAAGAAATTTTTGCCCATAAAGTAATTATAAAAGTGGACTTTGCTGTGACATTCTCAGCCCAAACTGCACTAGCAACGACATATGTTCCAACGATGTTTCTGTTACTAACATGAAATTGTGGGCTTGCCCTAGTGAAGTCTATTGTGGGGATGTTTTAGTAACTCCTTTTGCAAATGGCACATCTTTTAATATTTCTATTAATACAACTGCAAGTTACCGATTCTCTTATGACAAAATTTGCAAGTATTTAGTATCGTTTCCTGATATTGCTGGATTAAATGACAATATTCAGATTGTACCAACTTATATATATAATGTTGAGGCAACATTTATGTCTGGAGTATATTACTCTAATGATGTAACAAGATTGAATATGGTGTTACTAAGAACATATTCGGCTACTTTCCCTAATAAAGTATTTCTCTTAGTAAGGAGTTCATTGGCAAATTCAGTAGGTCAATTCACTTTTAGAGTTTAATTTATTAACAATCCTGATACTGATAAAGATTAAGCTGCAAGAGATTAACTTAAGAATATCTCTATTAATGGCTAGGACATTAGTAATCAATAGAAGCTTAATGATTTCTTGAATACATTTAATAAAACAAATTCAGGGGATTCTGATTCACTTACAAAGACTAATATTATAATAATTGCTGTTCTTGGAGGTGCATTCGTGGTGTTGGTTATTGTTGTAATAGTCTTAGTAGTTTACTGCAAAAGAAAAACTGATCAAGTTGAGACACTGTCTAAAAGACCTTAAAGTTCAAATGATCTAAGATCAACACAAAATGGACCTATGAGGAAAGCCAACTTTGCAAGCCATGATGATTACGAATCAATATGGAAATCTCAGCAATTTCAAGATTAATTAAAAGCGAAATTCGGTACAACAGAAGTGACACCTGAAATGATTTAAAAATTCTTCAGTGGGTAGATGAATAAGCCTGACCAAGACTAAGTATAGACTATACAAGCTTAAATATAGAATCAAGGGGTAAAGAATGATGGACACTCATTAGTCCTTGATACAATGAGAGATAGTAATAATAATATTAGTGCAACTGTTCAGCTACTTAATCAGAATAAGCCTAAATCAGAGATTAATGATGTAAAGTAGTTTAACTAAACTTTGGGACTAGGTAATAATCATGCAGTTAGCAGTGGTTAATAACTAACAAATTTTGATTATAATAGTGATCATTAAATTTATCCAGAAGCTGAGGCTCTTTAAAAGACTGGAATAAGGTCAGAAACCTCAAGCCAAAAGGATAAAATTTAAAGTGCTATATCTAATGAGAATTCTGCAACTATTAGTTAGAGTTACAACAAGGTAAATTCTATCAATTAGTAAAGTAATGCATTTTCAAGAAAGGGTACTCTAAGTAGAGTTCAACAAGAACCAGAATTATATTAGCCTTAGAATTAGGTGAACATTGGCTAAAACAATAATCAAGAAGAGCCAAAGAAAAAACGACTCAAGTCTAAAAAGAGTCAAGGAAGTACTATATTTGATGCTGGAATTGAAGAACCAGCGTAAATGCAGTTTAATATTGTGTCAAGTGATGCATAGGTGTAGTTAGCAACCTAGAAAACCAAAAAGTCAATGAAATAGGACAAGTAGCAAATATAAAATCAGAGAACTACAGATGGGCTGCCTCCTATTAATAAGCCTGGATTGGTTAACTACCAGTAATCTAGTACTGTATATCAAGAATAAGATTCAAGAGAAATTAGAAAGCAAGCTGCTCCTATTAACTTTTATGCAATGAATGATAAACAGAATAATAATGATGACGATGACTTTTTCTGAGTTTTTCAGATTAAAATGTAATAAGGAATCTTAATTGATAATAATAATTATTTCTAATTAAGAAATATTTAAACTATACATCCTATTAATGCTTGACATGCTTTGGGGTTTTGGGGTTTTGGGG